CTACAAGTTTCTGTAACATACCATCAGCTTCCAATTTATAAAGAAGATGAAGATAGGCAATTTTCTCGGCATCCTTCTTTGTCTTCCCATCACCATAAGCGAGCAGTGTCTCTCCGGAAATTTTCAGGCTGACCGTAGCTCTATGTAGTTTATTGTCATCCGGTCCGAATGACTCCCAAGAGACGTCGTGCTTTGCGTGATTATTGAGAAAACTCTTTGGACCTTTTAGCCAGGCGAGGTTTTCTTGTCTAGATTTGACTGATTCTACATCAAAAGTAGAGTTGATATAGTTCTGGTTATAAATGAGATGCGGCATATGATAAGTAGACTTTTGGCGCTTTTCTACGACACGTTGGCGCTCCCGGTCGCGTTGATACACTGTCTGCTGCGGAGGAAGCGGATCTCGCTGTGACGAATGCTCTAGCTGACTAAATAGCTGATTATAGCTAGAGTATAAATTTGGTTGTTCTTGATGATGCTGGTTAGTACAGTCACAATCTACATCATCTATTCTGACAATAGCATCTGATTTCTCATCGAAATAGGAGCTTACAAATGTGTTGGCATCAGAGGAAAGACGTTGCCTGTGCGTTGGAACATAAGGATCGGCTGGTGTTAGTGGCGACAAGGGTCTCTTCTTGGAGGTTGACGATGAATCCTTTACAGGTGATAGTCGTTGCATACTCTGACGGGATTGTGGCCGGTCTTGCGATGATAACGAATGTCCTGATTGACTACTAGATCGGCTTTCTGACCTGCGCCATGATTCCTCCAACTTTCTCGTTTGGGAATAAGAATTGGTTTTGGAATAACGGTCCCTACTTGAATGCGTATTACAAGATCGATCGTGATCGCAATGAGCAGCATATGCCTGTGGATACCGGGTTGAAGGTTCAGTATTTGGACTATTTCGTCGATTATGTCGCGAATTTGTTCGAAAATCATTTCGGCTTTTTGATAAATCAATAAAAGGTTCGTATTTGTGATGGGGTAAATGTCGTCTTTGCTGAGTTGAGCTCGGAAGCTGATGAGCAAAGGCGCAACTCGTTGGTTCCCTGTTCCTTTCTCTCTCATTTAACTGCTGACGCGAGTAATACGTATTGGATTGCGACGACTTCATTGCGTTATTTCCAATATGACTATTTTCAATAACTTTGTTTTGTCGTTCGCTTTCACAGTTATACGAAATTTTTTTGGGAGATAGATCGCGAGTAAATTTTCGCAAAGAACTGGGAGTCGCAGTATCCGTTAATGGGTTTAAACCGTTACTGATATATTGCACACTTTTGCTCATACCGAAGTTAGGGGAAAGAGAGCATTTCTTGATTAATGAGAGTCGACTAAGTTGGTATAATGGAATACGGATATAATGAGTTTTCGCTTGGTAGCGGACGACGAAGGAATTGCGTAGCAATGTTGGGGGATCCGTATAATATATGCATAAATTGATTGGCCCAACCCGAACAGGCATAAGATATAAGTTAGTAACGGTATTAATCGTACTAATAGTATTATTAAAGCGTACGAACAGCAGATTACGGCAATTTCTTGAAATTTTCTTGAATTTTGTAACATGGTCAATTCCATTCGATATCACAAGCGGCAGGAGTGAGCGTTTTTTTGCTTCCTATTGAATTCGCTACATCGGACAAAAAACAAACAAGCTCGTTTAAATCTACACCAATTCCAGGGCGCTGTACAACTCTATTATTTTAAACATAACTGGTGCTGTGAAAATAACTTGGGATTTACTGGTGCTCGCGTGGTATGCTGCATCATGCACATGCCCATTGTGATACTTAATTTACAAAAAATGTTATGTATGGATGGTCGAGTTTTTCAGACGAGCAAATCAGAATTCATTTACGCTGTCAAGCGGATTTTCGGTTTAATTTTCCTTTTTTTTATGAAGATTTCGGAATTTACTTCTTTCGGAGAAGATAAAGGGTCGAATTGCCACATTTGCTCTACGCAATTACCCAAGACGACATCTATTACTATTGATAACAGTATACTTTACCTAATATCCAAGTGCATACGAATAGTAATAAACCTAGCATGCGTCAAAAGGACAATAATGGAATATGACAAACGAACAGGCGCAACTGCCAAACACGTTCTTTTCCTTCCACATGTTAGCAATAGTAAAAGTTACTCAATTGCTAACGGGCCATCGTATGAACTTTTTTGTCATATCCCAGGCATTCTGACCTTTAGTCCGTTCTGCTTATTCCACGCTGATTTTTGCCCTCTCTGGTAAACTATCGTAAAAATCGAAGAGAACTTCTTTGGGCAATGTTCTAAATCCCTCGGTTTTTGAAACTCGTCCGAAGTTCATGTCCATGAATCTGAGGGCTCGTTTCTTCAGACCGTTCTCTCCTGCCATTGTAGCACGATGATAAATTCTTGCTACATGCTCGACATCAATTTTCTGATGTATGCGGCTACTACACATCGATACTAGTCGTGGTAGAAGATATAAATTCCCCAATGCCATAAGGTCGGCTATGGTGTCTATTGGCAGATAGTCCTCTAAAGTGTCTGTATAAAGATAGTATATGAATGCACGTACTGTGCTGTATGGTTCAGGAATAGTAAATGTGTTGCTGAAAGATTCTATCATGCCTGAATTAAGCATCTTGGCAAAATGCGCCCATCGCGCAAGAAGTATGATCTTGTGACAATATATTGGAGGAGCGTCTTTCTCCAATGAACGAAGGGTAAAATCCGACATTGTCAATTCATTGAACAGCTGTCCGAGATCCATCCCGATTGTTGGTGGTTGAGTGTGAACAAGTCCATACTCTTGCAAATCTACCGAGAGCACGCAAGATAAGTAATGCTCCTCATCTTTGTCACCATTGCCAAACAAGAATAAACACTGGTTATTCTCGCCCATTGCAAAATAATGCCAGTTACCCTGGATTATCTGCTCGTCACCCAGATACTGACGCCATTCGAAAGTATTCATATCGAGCGCCCATGCACCAGTTGATACCTGCAGTAGGCCATGCTTCACACATTCTGTTACTACTACGACGAGTCTATCTCCACATAGCTGAGCAAAATGTTGTCCAGCCGTGCCAGGAGCAGCTGCGCTCGTAATATCGATTTTAGATACTGTCTTTGTGTCTAGATCCATCATCGTTAGAGACTTTTCTCGATCAAGATCTTCGGTGTAACCACCGTACAAACAAAGCTTATTGTTAAAGATAAAACTATAATGCGAATGACGCGGTTCGAACGCAAATGATGGTTCCCAGGTCCAAGTCTGCAGATCGAGACAATTAACATCTTCAGAGACAATGATGCCGTCAGCAGAGTGGCCCCCGACGATATACAACTTGTCATTGTAGATTGTGGCCGAGTGCTTCGCTCGTCCTTGTGGAATATAGCCACGAACTTCCGGTCTTTCCCATGTCATTGTTTCTAGATCTAATATCACGACATCATTACAGTATTCATCTTCATCATCCATCCCACCAAATATGACGAGTTTATCTCCGTTCCACAACGATGCTGAGTGATCGTTTCGTTTTGATGGCCTTTTGCCCTTCACATAGATGACATCTTCCCATTTCATTTCTGCGACATTTAATCTATATAGATCATTATACACTTCATCGGTGTACTGATCAAAGCCACCAAATAAGTAAATATAATTTGGTGGATGTTGTGGATCGTCCTTGTTGGGGACCACTGTGACGGAAGCATTGACTAGACAGCCTAATGAAATCCCTGTGGTCTCGGTTGGACGTGGGTGGGTGTATAACGAAGAGATATATGAGGAACTTCTGAAGTCAGTTGATGTCGAGAGTGGAGACGTGTCTAGAGTGGAAGTGGTGGAGGACGGTGATGGTGTACTTAAAGGTGAAGACGAAGAATCTGACATTGGGTTGAGTTCTATTGCATACAAGTACGTGGAAAAGGGACGAGCGCACAAGTTGGAGATCAGACAATAGAAAAGACTTCGTCAGCACTCATGAGTGACTGCCGTTGCTAGTTCACTTGTTAGAAAAAGTGTTTTTGTAAATACCGTGATATCAGAATATTCTTTTATTATTTCTAATTCGAGGTTTCTCTGAGGATCGCTTGGCCTTTTAAATATGACCACAATAATGTATAACGTCAGTGATGACATGTTAAAAAACAAGACGAGAATGGTTAGTTAGTAAAGGACAATGTATAACTTTTGATGTGAGCATATTGACCGCGTATAGGGGGTGAATATGACTAGTATGGAATAGATACTAATAAGGAACGCGCTTTGGTATAGATATTAATAAGACATGGCCTTACACCCTGACCAACCATATTGAAAGCAACAATTATGTTCACAATCATTTTGTCCAAGATTTTTATCTACTTTTTGCGAGATTATAATCTACATAGAAGAAACGTTGATCTAACTTACTTTTGTGAATGGGATGAAATTTGCTCGATGAGAACGTGGAAACCTGAGAGTGGGCGGATTGAAAGGTATTAGTCGATATCAAATAAGCATTCAAACTTTTTTTGCTCTGCTTTCCCCGTCCTTTGTGATTGAGTGGGCAATCACCTGATTGCACAATAAAGTATGATTTATCACGTGAATTTTGCGGCTAGTTTGTGTAACTCTATGCGAAACTTTCAGTATTACAAGTCAACAATTAGTTATTTTCTGGCTATTTATTATAACACTCGCCCCATAATCCTTGCAACTTTTTTGTGCGCAAAAGCAAGACCACGGGAACTTTTCTCGTTCTCGGTCATAAACACGTGTATTAAGCAGGCATTAGCAATGCCAATCAATCACACTGTGCAATCATGCAATCTCAGTCTATAACGCCTAAATTTCAATATCTACAAACGTTCAGATAACACAATAACAATAATTGACAGAACGGTTGACATCTTTCTCATAGTGTACACGTCGTTAAAGTTTTGAAGATTATGTATATGTATGCTGTATAACGTTCTGATTATGGCGATCTGTTTTTTGTGGCCGACAACTTGGATTTTTATTGTATGTCCATGTTCCGGCTCTCTCGGATAATTTCTGCAATCTGTAATGCCAAACGAAGAATTTGTAAATGTTCGTCAGCACCATCGACAAGACACTTATCGGTCTCTCCCAGATAATGTGCGATAATTGACTTCTCCTTCTGACCAATTTGGTCATTCTTAACTATGTTATCATTTAACTAAAATATCAACCGGACGGTAATGTTAATTGTATCCAGCATACAAGACGATAATCAACAATGCTTATTCCTTCTTCCAGCACAACAATCCCTCACCTGTGATAGGATCTGCGTCGCAGAGAACCCGCAGTTAACAATATCTTCTACCATCTTCTCGATATTCTCGTGAGTATCAGCAAAAATACTTGCGACGAGCTGATCAATGACATCAGACGGAACAACCTATTACATGAAACGGACTCTGTTTCAGTTCATCGTAGAATCACAAACCCAATTAACGATCGATCCATACGTACGCCCGCTATTTCCCGCACAGATTCTTTAGTAATCAAGTCATTCTTATGAAGCCTATAAGCACTTTGCAAGTACATGATAGCCTTTCGCAAGTCTCCCTCCGAGTCATTAATTATTTCGTCGATAGCCTAACGCAAAAACAGACGGTAAACGTTATAGTAAGGGAGAAGAAACCACTCGAGGGTTTGATCTCTCAAAAATTACCTCGGGTGAACAGTTAATCCCTTCCCGCTGACAAATTGTCTCGATTCGCTGTTTAGCACTATTCACATCCAGTGGTTTGAAGCGAAACTTTGCACATCTGGATGCTAATGGTTCAATGATGCTAATAGTGGAGATTAACATACAGTTGCTTCAACAAAAAAAAAAAGTAGACACGATAAAAAAAGTGTCATTACCGACTGATATAATTGCATATTAAGCAAAATCGCGTAATTTTCGAATATGTTTCCATTGTGCGTCGTAAAGCCGCCTGTGCATCTTGAGTCATGGAATCCGCTTCATCTAATATGATTATTTTATAAGGCGGACATGGATATCCACTACAATGCCAAAGAAAAGCAAGACGCGTAAATCACACATATACACACACATATGAAAGACGTCTCAGTCTGTTCGTACAATCATCTAACCTGACAGGGTTACTGACTGTAACTTTAGCAAAATTCTTTACTTTCTCTCTTATTACTTGGATGCCACGTTCATCAGATGCATTTAACTCGAGAACACGAGATTTTATTAGCTGTGGACTATAGGGAAGACAATTGGTCAGAAATATAAGCCTTTTTCGACAGTCAAGTCGTATAAAACAAAAACAGGGCATACCCATATAGTTCTCTCGACAGGGCCAATATTGCTGAAGTTTTACCGGTACCAGCTGGACCATAAAACAAAAGATGTGGTAACTGAATTCATAAGCGATTAGTTTTCTGGCAAACGTTCCATTTGTATGCAATAGTACATACATGTAGCATGTACAACTTACATTACGACTTTCAATTGTCTTCTTCAATACGGCCACTGTCTGTTCTTGCGAACTTATATCGTCCATTGACTTGGGACGACTGAAACAATGTGTCAAATGAAGAGGTTCTACGTTGTAAACCAGACGAATAAACGCTATACATACTATTTCTCGATCCAAGGCTGTTCTTCATGTTCCGGCTCAACGGAACTTTTTTTAGCACTTAATTGAAAAAAATTATTCATAGAGAGAACTTGGCAGATATATATTATGGTAAATCGCAATACGCGCGAGTAGGGGAAAAGACGCGTTTGACGACGAGGGTAAGAATGTTTAAATCAGAATGTTGACCAAAGATCACACTTTCACACAGATAGATAAGTTACGTCACTGAACACCGATACTAATTTATTAGGAAAACCAAACGACTAAAAAACCTGAGCGTATTGTATTGTATATGTATTGAGGAGAGAACAAATTCTGGATTGGCAAGAATTCAATATACGTGACGAATTATTAATGTACGGATGTAATAGTAAAAGTATATGAAGAAGTAGGATAAAATCGAGTTTTCAAACTGAAATTATTGCTAAAAAGAAATAAAATAAAAATAAGAGGAATCCACGTTCATAAGATGGATAGTTTTTGTTTTTGGTAGTAAGTAAATTGTCCGAAACACTCATGCGTACAATGAGCATACAACATTCGTTATTAAGCGACAATAATCACTTTACAATAAGCCAGAAAGAAGCAAATAAACTATTAAAAAGCTAATGTAAATAAATAATATAAATAATAGAAGAAATAAAATACTACATTCTTGTAAGCTAAACTGCTATTTTAACGCTTTAAAGTAAACAATAGTAAACAATTGAATACGTTTTAAACTATCACAATTAAGATGAGGTGGCGGTTGTCTCTGTGGTTGTCTCTGTGGTTGTGGTTGTTATCTCCTCGGTAACAATTGTTTCGCCTTTTTCATTTACGCTTGATGTTGTTGTTTTCTTTACATCAGTTGTTACGCCAGTATTCGCATCAGTTTCAGGCACCACAACTTCAGCCTTTGTCTCCACAACTTCAGTCTTCACCTCCACAACCTCAGCCACCTCAGTCTTCACTTCAGGTGTTGCTTCGGTCTTTACTTCTTCAGTCTTCGCTTCTTCTTTGAGTTCGGTCACCTCACTATTAATAGCATCCGCAAAACTCGGCCCAGTCCCAGTTACTTCGAGCTTAGGTTCTGTCTTTGGTTCTGTCTTTTCAACGGACCTCGAAGTATCCTTCTTGTGGTCGGTTTTCTTGTTTTTCTTGATTTCAGGCTTGGCTTCAGTTTCGGGTTTAGGAAGTTTTTGTTGATATTCTGTGAGAGTCGTGTGCCAAACGTTAAGCTCGTCTGCACTTCGGAACATGAGTTTATATGTTCGGCTACTGGTTACGATATCTATATGATGGGACCTGTCGCTTTCGCTTTTCTTTATTTCGCTACTTGCTGTAATTTCGATTGTCTTGGCATTTGTGGCATCCTTTTTAGATTTATAATACCAAATCTTGCCTTCTTTAGTAAAAACGAAGAACCTGGACTCTGTTTTCTTTAAAATTTGCGATGATTTGTCGAATGCGCCCGTTATGAGAGCGTTATCAACTTGTTCTTTAATCGCTGGATCGTATTCTTCTTCAACCTTCGTTTCGGTGGTTTCAGTAACAACAGTTGTCTCGACAGTGGTTTCGACAACCTCAGCCTTTTCTGTCGCTTGTGTTGCCGTATCTGACTGTGAGTTGGTTCGTTTAGGTATAATATTGCCTAATCTATGTGGAATGAAAAAAGAAAGAAAGACAGTATTAGCATAATTACTGCCATTGACTAATACAAGAAATCGTATTCTAATCAAGAAACCTTTTCACAAATGATTTAACGGGTTTTTCTGGCTTTTTATCGGATGTCTCCCCCGTTGTTGCAGATTCTTCGGTCGTTTCTACAGTTTCAGTCTTTTCGACAGCCTTTTCGACAGCCTTTTCGACAGCCTTTTCGACAGCCTGTGATGTCGATGCTTCGACAACAGTGGTGGTCGTTTCTACAGTTTCAGTCTTGACTTCCTCAGTGACTTCTTCTACTTTCTTTTCGGTATCTGTCTCGGCAGATTTCTTGCTCGGTCCCCGCCTCCACATACTCGTGAGCTTGCGGCTAAGCCCCCCAACAACTTGTGGTGCTTTGCCTTTTGCCTCGTCGTCAGCAGATGTGGAGTCTTCTTTGCCTTCCTCTTTCTTTTCCTTCTTTTCCTTCTCTTTCTTAGACTCCTCCGTAGATTCCTCCTTAGTCTCAGTCTCCTTAGTCTCCCTAGTCTCCTCCTTAGTCTCCTCCTTAGTCTCTTCCTTAGTCTCTTCCTTGCTGAAGAAACTGAAGAAACCAGATTTCTTCCTATGCTCTTCAGTAGTTGCAGTAGACGTAGTGGCCTCTACGGCAACGGCCTCAGTAGTTTCTTTCTTAACCTCGGTAGATTCTTCTTTGCTCTCTTCTTTGGCATCTTTCTTAGGTTTCCCAGAGATGGAGGTAGTCACGGAAGATATAAATTGGGACATGATATTCTTCTTGCCGGCACCCTCCGTCCCGACTTCTCTAGTCTTGGATTCCTCAACAGCTTGAGTCTCGGTGGCGACGACGGTTTCGGTGACGGTTGTTTCGACCTTGTCAGTAGTACCTGATTCGCTGGTCTCAGTAGTGGTTTCTGTGGTTTCCGCGGTTTCCGTGGTCTTTTTTGCTAAGAAATTAGTGAATGGGAAGAGTGACTTGCGTTTGCTCTCGACGGCTGCCGGTTTAGGCGATGCAGGAGGTTCCTCATCGGTCGAAAATGTGTCGACTACAAAAGTGCCCTTAACTATAGATGAAAAATTTTAAAATGTTAGTGACTTGTTGGAGTAATAACTCGGGGAAGATGCAAAGCGAATGGTTTATAAATTCGGGACAATTCATTAACTACACTTTGGATATATCAATAACTTCTAAGACGTTTTGTTTTTCCGAATTAATGGCAAATTAAAATATCCACGGATATGCGTCCATTATTCCAATTGACAAACAACCAAAATAAAATTCGCAACACATACCAAGTTCTGCGTAAACCTCTTTATAAGAGTCAGTCTGCTCAAAATCGGCAGACATCGTTTTAGCTTCTTCAACCTTTGATTTGAGCACTTGAATCCATTTCTTTCGATCTTCCTCCGTGGTAGCATGGAAGATATAAATTCTGTATGGGGTCTTCAATTTAAACGCCCAGGTCTTGACAGCCTCAGTAGCTTCAATCGATTCAGAGTCGACATCACGAAGGTTAATGATGCCTTGAGGAGGTTCACGTTGGGGGTCTTTTTCTGATTTGTAATAGAGCAAAAGACCTTTTCCGGTTTGAGTAGCATGAGCAATGATTTTAATCAAAGCCTCGCGTAATAATTTACTGTCATCATCGGTTTTCTTTTCTTCCGTAGCAGTTGAAGTTTCGGGTTTGGCTTCAGTCTCGGGCTTGACTTCAGTCTCGGGCTTGGCTTCAGTCTCAGGTTTGGCTTCAGTCTTGACTTCAGTCTCAGGTTTGGCTTCAGTCTCGGGCTTGGCTTCAGTCTCAGGTTTGGCTTCAGTCTCGGGCTTGGCTTCAGTCTCAGGTTTGGCTTCAGTCTCGGGTTTAGCTTCAGTCTCGGGTTTGGCTTCAGTTTCGGGTTTGGCTTCAGCTTCAGGTTTGGTTTCAGTCTCGTGTTTGGCTTCCGCTGATTTTTCATTAGATTTTTGTTCGGCTGCGGGAGTTACTTTGGGGTGAATTAATTTTTTGTTCTTTGAATAGAAATTGTGGAGCAGTTCCTTGTCCAATTTCTCATCTCCAAAGACAAAATATCGTTTATTCCAGAGCTTGACAAGTCCATGACTTTGTTTGTAGAGGACACCGCTTACAAGCGGCTCTTTCTCTGTTTCTTCTTTCGTCTTCTCTATTGTTTCCTCTTTTACCCCCTGTTTAGTAGCGACTTCCACTTCTATATTATCTTCTTTTTTCTCAACAGCCTTTTCCTCAGACTGTACCTCTCCTTTAACTTCCTCTACCACTTCAGCAGTAGTGACTACGGTAGTGGTAGTCTCATTTTTAACAGTTTCAGTTCCTTCGACGGCGCTCATTACGTGTTCAGATGAGAGATGCGTTCAATAAGGATTATTAGAGTTGAGTTTAGTATTAATGAGGAGAGGAGCGAATTATTTGTAGAGTAAGTAATATTAGAGTAGTTACGTATAATTAAGATTTGTGGGGGGGGAAGACGGGAAGGAGGGGAAGAAAGTATAGCAATAAGAAAAAAAATATGGCTGAAGATATTTTGCTTATATAGTGTCGCTGGTATTACACAATATATGTTGGAGAAAATATTTATAGCGTGATCATATGCGACAATCACACACACATATATCCCACACATATATCCGCACATCCCACCCACATTCACACAATACCTCTGAATATGCATAGTAATACATGAGTGATACAGTAAAGCTACAAGTATTCAAATATTGACCATTATACAGGAATTGTGCAGGAGTTTTTTTTTTTTTGAACGCCTAAAAGTTGATGTACAGTCCACAATCGAATGTGATTGTCTGATTCGATTCGAACGTAATGGAAGGGCGGAGATGAAAAAAAAAATAAAATGAATAATTATTTATATATGCGTTCAATATTGTATGCATATGATATAATAAGTATATATTTATATTGCACATGCTTTTTGTACATGTAGGTAAAGATTACATATAAGTCGCTATCACTTGTGATATTTAGTACAAACGCTTGATTGGATGTGATTGTATTTGGTATTCAATTGTAGTAGACGTCATTAAAAATTGCTTGTTACCTGTAAGCGAAAAAGAGAGAATACATGGGCGGAGGAGAGAAGGAAAAGTGGGTGAATGACTGTTTGGATGATGTGATGATGGGAGACGAGTAACAGACTTCTTTATTTAGACAATGATAAAGAACATGTCACAATGAATAAAGCGTGGGAAACTATAATGTCATCTCAGTCGTATGTTCTTCCATTGCTGCAGTATCTGCGCTATCTGTGTATAAACAAATAGTCTGCCCATGTAATAGATATAGATAGATAGCGAAATAAATATTAAGACTACATCATTACTTTTGTTTTGTAAGAATAATATGGGCTTTATTTTTATTGTTAGTCTATTTTTCTTTATTTACTACGATAGGAGGCGATTGTTATGATCGATGAGAGCATTGTGTAACTTGTTCAACTATGATATGATCTGATGGTGTTATTTCTATTTATTAATCAATTGACCGCTAATAATACTTTAAGCGCCATCCTAAATTTCCCGCTCTTCTCCCGCATGCAATCGATTAAGCATTGGTCTGTTTATCGTTTTTAGCTATCAATTCTCGAATACCTGTCGCTAAGTAGCATAATGTTTATATGAAAAACGTGCGTTGTAAATGTTAATATAAATAAAATGGGAGTGTGTGTGTATGTGTATATGTGTATATGTGTATATGTGTGTGTGTGTGTGTGCTGCGAGTAACACATTCCATATTGGCAATATTGATCGTCGCACCGCTTCTGAATTGAAAAAAGGAGAGGTTGAATATATAATGGATAAATTTAAAAGCAATAACAACAAGAACAACAAGAGGAGGAGAAGAACAACAGCAAGAAGAACCAGAAGAACAAAGTCAAGGACAAGATGAGCAAGAACAACGACAACAACGTCGACAACGTCAACAACGTCAAGGACAAGATGAGCAACAACAACGGCAACAACAACAACATTTCATTATTAACTCAACAACAGTATTCGGTTAATTGGGTTCTCTAGTGAATGCGCCTTTAGACTTTATAATTTACTTGCTTTATATGGTCCAGTGCTGTCATTCAATGTCTGCAGATACTGTGTTGCGGGGAAATCCATTGTTGGTGAACAAGTCTTATTGGTGTGTATCCAAATTATGAGCAAGTAAGTACATACGCACACACGACGCATACATACTACACGCACGCACGCATACACACATACACATATAATAGTAAAAGTGAATAAAGGAAACTGAAAAAGTTCTAATTACTGAACGAATGCTGAATTAAAACATCGAATATATAGCGTGCGTGTGTGACAACTAAAATAACAGACAAAAAACCGCTCATTTTGTGACGTGCTCGTCTCGCAGATGCTTTGCCCATTAATATCTACCATCACTTGCCGATAGATCTCTGATAGCAATAGATACACTCATTTCTGGAAATTACACATCGATTTCTTTCGCCTCTTCACATTCGTTCATCTGTGGACACTTGGCAGACACCGTTGTTCTTTACCTTACAAATAAGAATTGCTGATAAAACGAATTATTTACTACATTTGGATAAAAAGTGCACAAATTTTATGTGGGTCTCACTACCGATATTGCTGCCACTATTTACAGTCACACCACACACATCAAAACGTCGAGTTAATTAGTAAGACTAATCGGATGGATAGAAAGACTTTATGGATTAATGTAAACGTTCAACAAGGCCAATGTATAAATGACTTAGTCATGAACAAATTAAGTAATTGACATATGGAGATGCAATGCATCAAATGAACGTAAGTTGTCGATTGCTGAATAAGAATAGTAATAGGTAATCATTAATTATAATAAACATATTGATTAATTTGTGCTTTTCTATAATTGGTTATATGCCGTATTCTAAAGTGCTCTAGCTAAGCCCCTTTACTTATTCGGGAAGAATGCTTTCTTTCCATTATGGAATTTGGCTATCAAACTTACTGTAATTAAACTCGCTTAAACTCCATATTAAGTATTTCCCATCTTCGATACACAACTCCCATATGCCCCCACCACCCCCGCCCCACTTTCCGCTTCCACCACCACCCCCACTCTATTCCACCACGATCCACAGTGCACAAATGTTTGTTTGCTTCGTAGACAATACACAATATATCAAAAGAAATATATTAAATCTTAAAATACATACGACATTTCCATCGACTACTAAAAAACTTGAATGTAATCCTGAAATAACATTCTTAATTTGCACAAATGATGTAAGGGGTGGGAGAGGGAATCGACATTGAAGAATATAAAGAACGTCATCTAAATACACTATATAATTATACATAATTAAACCTATTGTTAGACACACACTAGTTTTATCAGAGTTATCAGTCAGTTCTTCTTACAGATTGTCTGCATATCAGTACGAACATTACCACAAGACCCATTCGGCTGATCCATCATTCACTCAATATAGGGTTCACACTATCCCCATCACAATACTCGCATCTGAATCAATTGTACGCCTACCAATCAAACCCACCCTGAGATTATTAACTCTTCAATTCTCATAAAGGAAGACAGGGTGATTCATTCTTTTATCGACTCTTAGCATTATAATTAATTTCAACTAGCTCGTTTTTTTTTTTCGGGCAAGTAATCAAAATCAATAAACGAATAAGCAAGTAATGACGCTATTAAACCGTCTCCAATTAATGGGCGATATTCGCACTGTTCATTAAAATGCATACATTATAATTACACTAAATAACCCGATAAGATACCGTCCCAACAGTGACGAAAGTATTCATTTATATCGAATGGGGTTTTGCGTCACGGATAAGCTTTTTCCGGATTTAGTTCACCGATGATGCAATCTTATTGTACGGTCACAGGATTCAGATGATGTCATAAATTGCCAAGGACGGACTTACAAAGTGGTATCAAATGCCTTAATTGTCAAAAGAAAGAAGTAACCAAAAGAAAAAGGATAAAGAGTAGAAACGACGAAAGCTTAAAAACATGTTTTATGGGAAAAGAGATTTTCGGGAGTTATAATTCTTTTAGATTATAATCTACATTCTTTCTTTAAATTCTTTACAATCATAATAGTAAATAGGGCTGGCAGATCATTTCCTGAACATCTGGCCAAAAAAAAAAAAAAAAAAGGGCTGGGAATTTTCTAAGTATCCATCTAACCTTTAAAATAAAATTTTCCAAATTAGACATGATTCGGAAGAGCTTTTTTTTTTTCCCGAGTTTTTCAGTTAACATATATAACAATTGTTTGGCTTGGAATCTTTTTATTTCACATAACGTGATCTACACAATCTGGTTATAAATAAAAATCACACATGTTGTTTCAACTATTTTCACCAAAAGTCCATCCTAAGCATTCGCCTACTACTGCGGTTAAAATAATAGACTGTACTCGGTTGTTGGTTGACTAGAACGCAGAGCATGCAAATTTGGCTATCAAGCTACAATACTAATACTGTCTTTAATATCATCAATGCTATACAACATCCCCCACATTATCTTGCATAAAAATTAGTGTGTATACCTGCCCGTACCAGACTTTGTACCGTTTGTAGCGATTCTCTCTTACCTTTACCTTGTATTTTGTAAATAAGTTACATTCTTGTGAGCATTATTGTAAGCTATTCCATGTATTTGGTATAGTAATAAATCTGTTTATAGAATTGGTGCAATCATGACCAGCAAAACGCGTCTGATGCCTGCACAAAAAGCATGACAGGTAATTCATTACTTTTGCTGGGTAATTCAATTAATGTTTCTACCAATACTTGGTAATTATAAACTTCAGTAAAATTTTTATTAGTGCTTTTCAGTAGTAATGCACTTAATACTAATACTAATGCTCTTTTTGAAAGCATTGAAGATGGTAGATGGAAGGTGATGTCATCAGAATTGATTATAATACAGTTTTATTGATATGGGCTAATAGAAGAAAGAAAAAATTTGACATTAAGAAGTTTTATTTCCACCTTTGGCATTTTTGAGACCCTACAGTTCCAAACTGTGAGATTGGAAACAGCTATACTAATACATACAACACATTAGGGTCCAGCATAAAGAAATTCAGGAGCTGGTTAAATAGCAACATGCTTTGCATATTAATATATTTGGTTTGCTGACACTTTTATGCAGCCAAAAGATCAAATAAAAGCAGAATCATTTAATGAGTAAGATAGCATTGAGATGAGGGCTATCTGTTACTCTTACTTTAAAAGATTTATGTCAGATAGCAGCTGAGCCCTTGCCTTGGACAGCAAATATTTATTATATGGGGCATGCTGCAACAAAACCAGCCAAAGTG